GCAATCCCTTCTCCTCCATTCTCCTCTCGGGATCTTGGGCACGCACGCACACGCGCCCGGCGTGAGTTTTAAGCCACCGGGTCCGGGACACGAACGGTGGTCGACTACATGGGAGTCCAGCGACATAGCCATTACACTAACTGCTGGTTCCCTGGTTTTTATTTTTCAATCCATTTTTTTTTTTATGTGACATGTCACTCCCCCCCCCTTCATTTTAGTTCTTTCTTTTTCTTACTATTTCTTCACTTTTTCTTCCCACCTCTGCTTTCGTTTACTTCATACTTCTTTTCTTTTTCTTTCTATTGCCATTTCCTACTCTCTTTTTCTTCTTCTTTATTCTCATATTTTGTTACTCAGCCCTTACCCTAGGTGCACAGTAACTAAACATCTAAATATTGTTAGTTTTAGAGAATTCTTTGCCCCTTGCAGTACAGGCTGTAGAAAGAGGGAATATCTCCTTCATAAATCCAGTTTCAACACTCCTCCTGTGATTCCTACACAGTAGAAGGGAGAAAACAACACCAAATTGTTTCACAGTAAGGGAAACACAGGAGCTCACACTTATAGAACCCTTCTCTAAAAAAGTGGCCAAAAGTGAATAAATCACCAATGACTAAAAATCAGAAAAGAACCTCAAGGATAAGAGAACCAAGTAATACATCACTCGCTAGTAACTGCTTTCCAAGTAGGAAAAAATTAGAGGATATTACAGAAACATCAGAAAAGAATTTAGAACATTTATGGTAACAAAATTCTATGAGCTGCAAGAACAAAAAGACATTGAGCTCCAAGAGATGAGGAAGTCCTTCCACGAGATGAAAGAAGAATTGGATGCCATAAAAAAGCAGCAAATAGATATGAAGACTGTAATACAGGAAATCAAAAACTCCCTCAAAAGTATTAAAAGCAGGTTAGATATGCAAAGACCAAATCTCAGAAGAAGACAAAACCAATGACCTAGAAAAAAATATCAAAAATACTGAGAAAACAGCCAAGAAAATTGAGGATACTATATGAGAAATACTAGATATCATGAAACGCCCAAACATCTGAATAACTGGCATCCCAGAAGGTGAAGAAACTGATAAGGGCATTGATAATCTATTCTGCGAAATTCTGAAAGAAAACTTTCCAAGTCTAGAGAGGCACTCAAACATCAGACTCAAGAAATACAAAGAACCCCAAGTAGAATCAATCCAAGAAGATCCTCTCCATGGCACATCATACCAAAACCACAGAAAAAGACAAGATACTAAGATTGGCAAGAGAGAAACATCAAATCACTTACAAGAGCTATCCCATCAGGCTAACACTGGACCTCTCATCAGATACAAGGCAAGCAAGGAAAGAATGAGGAAATATATTCAAAGTGTTAAATAAAATACAATTTCAATCAAGAATACTATACCCAGCAAAATTATTGTTCATATGGGAAAAGAAGATAAAATCGTTCTCTGATAAACAAAATCTGAAACAATTTACCAACTCCAGAACAGCTCTTCAAGAAATTCTGAAAGGAGTACTATACCAAGAAAACTAAAGACAGATTAACAGCAATAAGAGAACAAAAAACAACCAAGAATATGGCCAACTTAATGTTGAGCCATGTAGAGACAAGTCTGGAAATAGTGATCATAATGCTGAATATTAATGGATTAAATTCTCCGATCAAGATACACAGACTGGCTGAATGGATTAAAACTCAGAAGTCTTCCATCTGCTACCTACAAGAGATCCATCTCATGGATAAAGACAAACATAGACTAAAAGTGAAAGGCTGGAAAAAGGAATGCCAAAAGAAAACCAGAAAAGAGCAGGAGTCACTATACTGGTTTCCGGCAAAATATGCTTTAAGACAAATATGTTAAGAGACAAAGAAGAGTATTATATAGTAGTAAATGAACTAATTCACCAAGAAGATATAATGCTTATAAATATCTATGCACCCAACTCAGGAGCACCTAAATGTGTGAAGGAAAGACTGCTAGATCTAAAAGGAGACATAGACACAATAATTATTGGAGATCTCAACACCTCATTATCTCCTTTAGACAGGTCAATGAGACAAAAAATAAGCAAAGAGATTCTGGAACTAAAATGATACCATAAATCAGATGGACTTGATAGACATCTATAGAAATTTCCACCCAAAAAACACAAAATATACATTTTCCTCAGCCCCACAATGTACTTTCTCAAAGACTGACCATATGATAGGACATAAAACCAGCCTTTACAGATCCAAAGGCACAAAAACTATATACAGCATCTTCTCCTACCATGATCAAATTAAACTTTATATTAATCTTAGGAAACACCCTCAAAAATACACAAATACCTGGAAACTAAATAACCTACTTCTGAATGACTTCATGACTACTGCAGAGATTAAGACTGAAATCACAAGATTCGTGGAAACAAATGATAATGAGTACACAAGTTTCCATAATTTACGGGACATGGCAAAAGCAGTCATAACAAGGAAGTTCATAGCCAATAGTGCATACAAGAAAAAGATGGAATGGTGGAAAAAGGATAACCTAACATCATGCCTCAGAGAATTGGAAAAACAACAAGAAAAAAATACAAAAAAAAAAATGCCAGGAGAAAAGAAATAATAAAGATTCAAGCAGAAATAAATGAAATAGAAAATACACAAACTATATAGAAAATAAATGAGAACAAAAGCTGGTTCTTTTTAAAAATAAACAAGATTGACACACCATTAGTTAAACTAATTAAGAAGAAAGTAACCAAATACATCCAATTCGCATTGAATCAGGTAACATTACAACAGACATAATAGAAATACAAAACATCATTAGAGGATACTATGAGTGACTATATGCCAACAAAGAAGAAAACCTCAATGAGATGGACAAATTCCTGGATACATATAATCTACCAAGACTGATTCAGGAGGACATAGAAAGCCTGAATAGACCTCTAACAAGCAAAGAGACAGAATCAGTAATAAATAACCTCCCAACAAAGAAAAGTTCAGGTCCCGATGGCTTCACTGCTGAATTTTGCAAAGCTTTTAAAGAAGAGGTAATCCCCATTCTACTCACACTGTTTCTAGAGATCCAAAGGAAAGAAACTTTCCAAATTCATTCTATGAAGGCTTCATTACCCTCACTTCCAAAATGGATAAGAACACGACAAAAAAGGAAAACTACACATCTATATCTCTGATGAATACAGATGCAAAAATTCTCAACAAGATACTTGCTAACCGTATTCAACAGCATATAAAAAAGGTTATTCATCACAATCAGGTAGGCTTTATTCCAGGGATGCAAGGGTGGTTCAATATACACAAAACCATAAATGTAATACAACATATTAACAGAAAGAAAGATAAAAACCACATGATCATTTCTATTGTTGTGGGAAAATCATTTGGCAAAATACAGCATTCCTTTATGATTAAGACTTTCAGTAAAATTGGCATAGAAGGGTCATTTCTCAGCATAATAAAAGCCATTTATGAAAAATCTATGGATAACATTATAGTGAATGGGAAATAGCTAAGAAGCTTTTCCACTAAAAACACAACACAAGGCTGCCGACTTTCTCTGCTCCTATTCAA